CCATTTGAATAATTTTCAACGAATCTCTTTCTTGTGCTAAGGTTATTTATCATTACCCATTATTTATTATTACCCATTATCCAAATATTTATAATAGTCTAATTTTTTGCTCAGTGCTCATTGAAATAATTGATTTTGAGTCAATTGGCTTTAGTAGTTACTGATTTATCGCAGTTTTCGTATTTTGTGTACATAAATTACCGTTATATGGGATATTCATTAGATGTCTTAGCTAGGCCCTAGCCAAGGCTCGTACCCAGTTTGGTACTGATTGGTGACGCGGCTACTGAGATACAGCATCTCATCATAAGTGGGCGGAATCACGTCCATTTTCCAACAATGTCATGATAATACTATTTTTTACCAAAATTCTGTTTAGCATACTAATTTTCAAAAATTTGGATCCAATATTTACTGAAATATCTTAGTTTTAAATACCGTTATATGGGAAGTGGGCGTGGTTACGATCCGATTTCGCTCATTTTCAGTACCAATCTACCTTGGATAAATGGGAAACCTACATACCGAAATGAAAAATATATATTTGGCGCTAAACTTTTGGTAAGTATTTGTCGAACCACGTGTTATTATTTTTGTAGTTAGTGAGGTGGGTTAGCGTAAACTTCCTTCTTTTCCCACCCCTGAATGTGGATCAACTTGATCGGACCTAGCATGCGTGTATCTATAAATAATTTTTGTGAACTATATAAATTATTCAGATTGTTTTGTTGTTATCAAATACTGTTTACTTAGTGTTTTTGATTTTATTTAATCAGGTTTTATTTTTGGCCATCCTCTTAAGCATATATGCTATGTATGTACCTGTATAAGGGTGGTGCAAAATTTTTTTTTGTAGCAAACCCCCAGAACTGACGATAAGCGAAAATGTGAAGACCCGTATTTTTTATTTTTTTATTTTCAAATCGGGGCTTTGAAGCTTTCCATTTATTTTACATGGGGAAAATACAATTTTTTCGTAGAACTACTATTTACTATACTTGGTTAAAAACAAATGTTTTTGTATCTTTTTTGGGATCTTCAAAAAATTTAATTATGATTAATATTTAACTTTAAAGTTTTGCTAACTGCTTTTTCATAACCGATAATCTTATTTTTTAAATATATACAGAAAGGTACTTTTATTCGATCGAAGAATATTTGATTTTAATGATTCTATAGCAATTATAGGAAAAAAATTTTGGAAAATATCAAAGCCTTGCATGAGCGTGTTTGCAATTTTGAAAAAAAGACTTTTATTTCATAAACGCACTTTAGCACTTGACGAAATTTTTCTGCAAACTTAAGCAGTGATGACAGTACAAAGAGAAGAGATGATAAGTAGGAGTGACAAATGAGGATTTAATTAAAATACTTGTTTAGCTTTTTTAATATTTGATGACTAAAACAGTCATTTTGAAAAAAAAAACTAACCGAATCCGGAAACAAAATGTCTCGTCTTCTCTATTTATGCATTTTTTTTATTCTATTTACTAATATATTTACTTCAGTTTAATGCACCATCACGGCTTGGATTCGAGTTCTCATTGTCACATAAATTTCTTATTTTGATTGATCCTAACAGCGAACCAGTTGAAAAGGCAGAATGCAAGTTTTGCGCATAATAATAAGCGTGTTATATCCATATAAGTAAGTAAGTATGTGTGCATATACATACGTATGTATTCATTTTTTTTATGTCAAAAATAATGCGTTTATAACTAAAATGGATATATGTATGTATGTATGTTTCTTTGGATGTGCCTAATTGCGAGAAAAATGTTTGAACATTGGCACAGGTTCGAAATCTATATTGTTTAAACTTCGCTTCAGTATTCAAAAAAGCGCACAGCATAAATTCATAAAACCATAATAAATATATAATCTGCCAATAAACTAGTAAGCATTGCCATAAATAAAATGATTTACGTTTTTTTTTTTTAACAAGTTCCATTAAGTTTATTTTAGACACTTTCCTCGAAATTATATCATATTTTGGTGAATGAAAGAACGCTTTCAACTTGGCGCAACCTAAAAACTTATTTGAGATAAACTATGGAAAATTCAGTATTAAAAGAATTTCTACCTGGGAAAGGGAAAGAATGAAATTGGTGCGAAAATTGTGGTAGAAAAGTACGCAAAGTAGGCAATTAGTAGTGAAATTCGCTTTGTAAATTCTAATGTATTTGCAGCAATTTTGGCATTTTAAATGAATTATTGGACGAAATATTAAGATATATAAAAAGAGCAAAAGGGTTCAAAGTTGAAGTAAAACTACTGTGAGTTTTATTTAAACATCGAATTTAAAAACAATTTAAGTTTTCATCAGTTAATTGTGCTTTATATGCATATGGGGCATTCCATACGAAAACGGACGGGGTTCAAACTTTATGTGTCTGATTTGTTTCAACTTTTTAGGGTGATGCATAAAAATAAATAAATATGAAATTTGGGCTTGATTAATACGTTTTTAAAAACTTTACAAACACAAAAACAAAAACCAATCGATTTAATAGTTTTCAAAATATCTCGCGAACGGAGCGAGGAAAACAGTTGAAAAAATTACACTTGAAAATTCTTTATGAAAAGAAATGTTTTAAAATTTGTTTTCTTGAAAAATTTTTTGATACAAATTTTTTTTTTTTAAATATTCCATCTCAAAAAAAAAAAAAAAATCATAATGGTAGCTCCGAGTATTACGCAATATTTAAGTATAGTATTTAGAGATGGGCGCGGGATAGCGGGACCCACGGTACTGATTTAAAATTGGCCGGGATGGGCGTTATCGGGAAGATCTGTAAAAATATGACGGGCGGGACGGGACCAAAATCCCTTCCCGACACTCCCGATAAAATCTTCCTTAAAAACGATGTTTGAAATATGCAAATATGTCGGGATGGGCGGGTTCGGGACTTAAAAATTGAATTTCGGGTTGGGCGGGTCGTGATTAAATATTTAGTCCCGTGCCCATCTCTAATAGTATTATGGGGTGCACTCTACAATAATTTGAGTTATGATTTTTTTTTTTACACCAAAGTTGAGTAAAATAAGTTGGTATATTACAAATTTAAAATTTTGTATTTTTTTTTAGAATTTTTTCGAGTATGCATTCTTGTAGCCCATTAAATTTTAGTATAATAAATGCAAGTTTTGAGCTACTTAAATATTGCGCAATACTCAGAGAGATTTTTTTTAAATTTTTTTTGAGATGGCATATTTTCAAAAACTCATTTTTTTATCAAAAATTTGTTTGGGAAAAATTTTTCAAGAATTTTTTTTTTTAATATTTCCTTTCATAGAGAATTTTGATGTGTGTATGTGTGAATTTCAATATTTTATATGTATCTACGTGTTATAAAACATAAATTTTTTTTGTTCTGTAACTCAGCTCTTACTACCGAACTAGCTCAATTAGCTGAATTATAGTTGAAAAAGGTGAACGAACTAAGAATCAGAAGAGCTAGTTCATTGAGCTGAATGAACTAGAAGTGCACTAATCTTTAAACTGAACTAAAAAATCCAGCTCTAGTAGCTACCATCGATGAAGCGTTAAGGACTCTTGCATCGTTACATGATTTTTTTTTCGAACGGAAAACCGCAAAAAAAAATTTTTTGAAAGCTTCGGTGTTTTGTTTCCCAAAAATGAGTACAACTTCGACAAATGCAAGAAACTTTGTGAAAATAAATTTGCATCGGAAGCCAAAATATTGTTTGTGATTTTTCGAAATGTTTCAATAAATTAACGGTACTCTAAAATTTTTATATGAGCTTTGAAGTCGGTATTATTATTTTTGCTCTAATGCTATTGCATACAAAAAAGTCGTACGTAAATTTTTAATTAACAAAAAAATTACATATTTTTCATCTTTCTCACTTCAAAAAAATGCAAACATATTTACCCACACAAACAGCGGGCCGCCTCAGCATTGTCGAAGTACTGATTTATGCTGTGCGATAGTTTGATTAAAAGCTATTTGGGTTTAATTTTTTAGATGTTATCTAATTTAATTAAAAAGCTAAATCAAAGAGTTTCTTAAAGTGAATTCCTTGGTTGATAATTAAGCAGTTTTCCGGTTTGCACTATTTTGCTATATTCAACTAAAGTTGTTTACTATATTAAGTCACTAAGACACTTTTTATGTATGAACCTATGTACATACATAGATACATACATATGTGCGAACATTTTCATAATAGAACTAAAGTGCGAATTATATTTTTTTCTTTTTTCAAAATGATCTTCTGCATTTTCGTTTTATGCTTTCATTGCTTTTTCTGCTGCTCTTGAACTGGTTTCAGCTTTTGATAGATATGTACTAATAAAGCTGGCAAACGTGCGTTTTTGCTTTAGTATAAATATGCAGCATTTGGTTTTAGGTAGCATCAGTATTCCTAGACACATCACTTAGCAGCAAAGAAATGAAATTCCTGGTTAGTATTTAGCTGCAAATGTCTAATTCGATTTATTGGTTTAAAACTTTTACGGTAAAATTTTTTTTCTATACAGATTGTTTTCGCTTGCCTGCTGGCTGTCACCTTTGCCAATGAGGATGCCAACGTACTCAAACAGGAACAAGAAGTTGAGCCTGATCACTTCAAGTATATACTCGAACTGGACAATGGAGTGAAGCTGCAACAACAGGGTCGCTTGGTTGGCGATGATGATGTGGGAATGTTGATGGCAAATTCGAATTCATTTCGCCCGAAGGTGAGAAGGTTGATCTGGCCTACACCGCTGATGAGACCGGTTACCATCCAGATCCCAGCAACAAGTGGATCCATCCAATTCCTGAACACATCATTCGATCAATTGAATACATTAGGACTCACCCTAGCAAAGAATAAGCCATATTGAGTGCTTTTAACTAATTTTAAAGTATTTTTGGAAATTTGGAAAGAAATATAGTATGTGCATATGTGATAAGATTTAATGCGATTTATTTTCCTTGCGGCAGCGGTTGGGTTTTCTCTATGTCACAATGAAAGATTGTTTAGCTGCAGCTCTAAAGTCATCTCCTGTAGGGTATGTTCTCCATATTTGTTCTATTCTCAGCAACCGTGCGAATGCTAAGCAGATTTGAACAACGGGCTCTAAAGGCATCATCGGCATTTCTGACAGGAGAGTAACTAGGTACTTGTCCTTAAATTTGGTGAACCAAGACTTAATCGAAAGTTATTTTGCTGGTAAATCCAGTAAATTCAAGAAGAATTATTCGGGATAGTTTACCACTTCACTAGGAGCCACAAGAATGTAGATTTAAGTGGCAATTCATTGTCAGGAAATTGTTTTTTATTTCGAAATTATTAGCACTAATTCGACATTCTTTGTGGCCAAACAAACCTCGCTCATAATCAGGAATGACTAATAGCTTTCAAATCTGGAAGATTGATGTTAATCTAAGTATCTTTCATTGCCAACACGTTGAAAAAATTGTCCATTCAATGGGATTTCTCGGTCTGCATTCTTATTGTAAGGCGTAATTTCTTCAAAAGCGGTGATTGCTTCTAAAAAAGGCCAGTGTTTTATTAAAAAAAAGTGTTTGATGTTGCTCGCAACAGGCACCGAACCAGGGTTCAAAATATTTGGCTACGGTGTCCGGCTTGCTATTATTAAAAAGTACCTTTTATTTTGGAATTACAGTGCAGTAAATATTGGGCAGTGTTAGCGGACCTTAAATAAGGCAGCTTTTTTGGTTACTCAATCACTAGAAGGGACATAGATCTTTTAAAAATACCTCAAATCAAGTCACCCATTAGCTATTTATTTAAATGCCAATACGCTTTGCGTTCTCATATGATGGTCTTTTTAAATATATGAATACATATATCGTGCATCCTTACTTTACCTTTACAAAGTTCGTTTCTTAAGTCTTTCGATCTACAGTGGAAAATACTTGCGTTGTTTCTTACAGCGTCGTAAATAATCCCAGTTTAGCAGTGACAATTTTCTTTGAGTTATTTTATTATCATAATTTTTTTATTAATTTTCTATATATTATCTATTATATATTTCCAAAAAAAATCTTTTCCTACCAATATTGCGATATATTAAATGTGAGATTTTATGAGTGAATGAATTTAGAGTATGTTTGTTGCTCTCCCACGCTAAAGCGGCTGAAAGTTTTTTTAAGGAAATTTACCAAAAAGATAGGTTGCATCCTGGATTAGTATATAGGACACTTTTTCAAGAAAGTTGCCACCTTTTCAAAAAGTAAAAGCAAGTAATAAGCACCTTAAATAAAATATTCCAAAAACCTGTTCAAGAGTAATTTATTTCGGAGATCATTTAAAGGCAGTGACCACCTTTTCAAAAGCTCAAACCAATTTAATTAAAAAGATAATTGAAAGCATAATTTTGGAAATATTTTTAGGAAATTCCAAGTCCATTTAATAACCAAATTAAGTGTAATATTTCTGAAAATATTAAATCAAATTTGTTAATGCGGGTGCCAAACGAGAGCTATAACCAAGCTTAATTTTTCAAAGCAGGTTGCCACTTGCCCAAAAAGTTAAAATCGATTTAATTAATAAGTTTGATGACTTCTTTTAATAAAAAAGCATTGGTGTTAATTGAAAGAGGTTTAAGACGGCTTTATTTATTTACTTCTATTTATAAATTGGTTTAAAAATATTTACTTCAAATATATTTTTGAGTAGTTTTTTTCGCTTTTAATTATTCGCTTATTGTTTGATAGCTGATTAAGATTGCT